TCATTATTTCCATACTATCTCCTTCCTTGATTCTTCTGCTTTTTTGTGCCAAGTAACTTTTCCGCTACCTCTACCAGTTTTTCTTCTACAGTCTGCCGAATAGAACAATGTTTTTGATACAACCTGCCCCATGGCTTGGGTGAGTTGTATCACATGGTGGGGTAATTTGTATCACTAGGTATTTCACGTTTCAGGGAGTGTGCTTGCTACTGGTTTTGAGCATAACAACAACATTAAATGGGGTTGATACAATGTATATGCTCAAAGGCTTCACTTTTATTCGACCAAACTTAGGTCAATGCAATCCGAACGAAACATCGAAACGAACGAAACATCAACAGACTAGACGCAAAAGTGGCCCGTTAAGAGCAAAGAAGCCAACACATTGTGCCAAAATGGAACGAGTATTGACTAGCTACCTACAAACGCGAGCCAGGGCTTAGCTTTCGCGATCAAAAGCAACATACCCATACATACATACATGTTACAACATACCCCACCCGGCTCTGATACAACATGTACCTCGCCGCCATCTTGGAAAAACATCCTCGTGCTCAAAAACAGCGGACAGCTGGAGAAATCCATTTTCACTCACGCAGCCTTAGAACCTACCCTCACCACCGCTACGGAGATCTTTCAAATTCGTGCACATCTAAATGTCCAAAACACACATTTTCTTGCAACTCATTTTTTTAGAATGACATTAAAAAAACATAAAATCGGCTCTCACCTCGAGACGCGTCCACCCAGCCACACGACAGAACAGGGAAAGATGGCGCCCGGAAAACCTCGTCGGCTGGTCGTGTCACGAGCGCCATCAATTGGATAAGTTTCGCACAATTCGCCCTGATACAACTTGGACATGATACAACTCTCCCCGCTCTCCCCTATATTGTTAAAGTTATAGAGCAAAAATGATATTTTAAGGGCTTTTAGCTAAAAAGTGAGATATGTTGCACTGTTAATGTTATACCATACAGTACTAATATTTATACGAATGTTATGTAAGGACCGTTTAACCCGCGCCCCGTTGGGCTCTGCCGAGCAACGCGCCCCGTTGGGGGGGGGGGCATTTTGGCCCCCCCTAAGATCGCGAGATTCGAGAACCACGCAACCTAGCGACAAGCGGTAACGGTGTTGGATAGCCCTATCAGGGAACTACCTTGTGACTCAATTTTATTGACCTAGGTCAAACCGATGACGTCACAGGTCAGGTCAAAGGTCGAATTTTCACCGTTTACAGGCATTTCAAGAAATGCGTTGTAAAATCGAGTAAAATGCATTTCATTGGAAATCATCGATGGGGAAATGTTCTTCAAACACATATTTTGCTATTTGAGGTCACTGATACCAGGTCAGGTCACAGAGGTCAGGTCACTGGGGGGTCACACTATGAAAGTGTCGTGTGATACATGTTTTATGGTCCATTTTACATGAAAAATGCGATTATGTTGGTCAGGCAGCCTTTGGGGCCAGCTTAGGTCACGTTTTGGTCAAGGTCAGGTCAAGGTCAGGTCAGGTCAAGGTCAGGTCAAATTAGGTCAAATTTCAAAGTTAATATTTTTGCATAAAATGGGTATCGAATCGATGAAGTTCGTCACGGGGAGTTCAATGGTGGTCTTTGTTTTGCCGTACGTGGTCTAGAATCGCTAAAAATTGAGTTCAAAAATTTGACGTCAACATTTTTGAACAGTTTTTTTTTCGCTATAACTTGGCCAAAAACGTGATATCGATCTGAAATTTGGTATGTATATAGAAGAGCGCAGGGACTATCACATATAGGTACTCCGGTTTTTTCGAAATTCGGAAAATTTTGGATTTTTTTTAGTTTTTCTAAAAAAATCAATTTTTTGAATTTTTAGGGGTCAAAAACCCAAAATTTTGAAAATCCGAGATAGCCATTTTGTAGCGCCGCTTTTTGTATACTAGACCATATAAAGAACTTTGAAATTGCTTGATAACTGTAGATTTGGTGAGCGTTTCAAGATTGCATGTTTTTTGCTCATTTTTGCTCGAACATGACCTCAGTTTGACCTCAATAACTCCTGACCTAAGGTGACTTAAGACTTGAAATTTGGTGTGAAGGTGTCAAATTGATGCCCGGGATGGTACTGAAAATTTGGCGGCGCTGCGCGTCGCCGTTTTCTTGCTATTCAAGAAAAACCACAGGGGGGCCAAAATGGCCCCCCCAACGGGGCGAGGGTTTTAAGTGTTTGTAGTGAGGGGTGACGAGGCAGGCTGGCTTAAGTATGGCATTTTTTCGAACATCGCTGTTCTAAAATAAAATTAGCACATTGGGGTAACCCCGGGCGAGTGGCCAAGCTTACCCCCAACCGAGAGCAATGCCACTAAACCACTGTTTTCCATGATATAATAGGTACTGAGTAGGTTTGGTTTACACCTAGATCAAAGATAAATTTCGAAAATAAAAATGTTATCATAGACAAAGCCTCTTCGGCCTGTCGCTCTATTCCAGTGCCTATAAATATCAGGTATGGATGAAGGGCGATTGCTTGCCTGGTTTTTACTGTAAAATATGGGAGATATCCGCCCCATTTTAACGGTTTTTAGTTACCCTCCATCAGTTTATATCAAAAAGTGACTAAGTTTATGTTTATATACTACAGGAACAGTCATGTCACTTGAGGTCAGCTAAGGGTCAAACTACGTTTTTGCAGATAACGCGACAGACAATGAAGCTAGAGCTTCAAAAATGGTGTCGTCGTATTCTTCTTCATCAGCCGAGTCGAATGATATGCAATATGATGCATTTAGGTAAATCAAAAAAAAAATATTTTAAGGAATTTTGAAATACACATTTTTTGTCAATTTTGCATCACGATTCTCATCGACCTGTACTGTATATGTGGTAGACGCTAGCTAAAATACCAGTAGTGACATAAACTCTAAGATGTCCAGAGCTAACCAGTAGGTACCGTAATATTCCACTTTCCGTCAATATTTGGAAGACACATGATGGTTTCATCAACTCGTTGTAAAGCGCCGGGGAGGTGGCCGCGCGTTACCCCTATGCCGGGCTTACCCCAGAAAAAATCAACACTTTTTTAAAACTCGATTTTCTCAACCTTATACTATTTCCACGAAACCGAATTTTTGGGAAAACACGGCCAATTAACTTAGCTAGCTAACAGGATATCAACATTTTATACAGCACGTATGGTATGTAATAAAAATGAAAAAGAGCTTACTATGTCGGGCTTCCCCCGGCTTCCCCTAATTGGTCGGTTTGATTGGTTGATTTTTGACAAATATGTGGTTATCTATCGAACATCGGAGTTAGATGCATGTTCGTGGATAAAGCGTATCATTCGTTGAACGTTTGCAACTTTAACAAGCACCTTTCTACCTAAACTGTAGGGTGGTGCATAGGCGCGGGAGCCGGGGGGGGGGGCAGTGGGGGCAGCTTGCCCCTCCCCCAACTCTGGGGCCGTGGGGGCGATGCCCCCACAGCTTTGAGACGGAATACCACACTTTTTTTGCAAATGTTTTCTTTTTTTGTTGAAAAAGCTGAGGGGTGAACAATAAGTGGCCTAAAACCGGTGAGAAACCTAGATTTGGGGGTACCCTAGGTTGATCCCTATTATGGTGTGCCCCCCCCCCCCCAGTCGGAAAGTACATAGGTAGTTCCCGCGCCCCTGGGGTGGTGAATAGCTAAGGGTTAGGTGCTGTAGGGTTAGGTGCTTGTGCAATATCCACTGACGTGACTGTTGATTACTTACCACTTATTTATATCAATGAAGTGTTAGTGCTATTTGGGTATTAGGGCAGCAACACCGTAAAAGAAATCACCGCCTGCCAGTTCAGCTTCTCAGTCGGCTGTGCTCAGCGCTGTTTCTCCGTCCATTTGTCGATGAACGGAACACCCCGTTGTTTTTCTGCGTCGGACGATCGCCGAGTGCGTTCCGTCTCTCCCGCGGCTGTTTACGGCTCCGCCGCGCTGGGTGAGGGAGCGGCCACGTCAGTCTCCGGCAGTGGTACGGCGCCTCTTCTGCGGGACCCGTCCCGACTCCGATCGCCCACCTCACCGATCAGTGAGACTCTGGATCCACGTAAGCCGTGCACGGACTTATTCTTCGTGTCCGGCCAATGTTGTGATGCATTAGGCGGGGGTCAGTTCAGAGCAGTTCCCGCTCGCCAGCCGGCAGCCGTTCGCAGAAGCAGCGGCGCCAATCTGCCCGACGCGTCTCACCGCACCTATCGGCCGACCTGTCGACGGCCGACAGCACGGTGTTGGCCGCGACGGGCGCCGGTCGGAACACGGACCGGCCGACGGTCCACGGTCACGCGACGGGGGCACGTGCGGTCGACGCGCCGAGGATGGATGGCCGGCGGCCGGCCGGCGGACAGCGCCGGCCGGGCGCGTCACACCAGCGGAGGCTGACCCCGACCGCGCACGGCAGCTGACGCCGGCCGAAATAGACGGCCTGTCTGGCTGTCGCGTGTCACTGTCGCCCGCCTGACCCACTCGGCCTGATATCAAACCTCCGCAACAGCCGGAGCAAACAAAACCGTATCTGTTGTTTCTGGTGCATCAACAACGCCCCATAGTTCAACAACAGTACGGAGTACCGAAATGCCCCAAAACACGACTAACAACACAACATCAGGAGAAGCACAAAAAAGACTTGACAAAGCAGCATGCATATTACATACAAATAGGTATATTGCTAGTTGCTGGTGAAGGCCGACTAGCGAGCATCGATTTCGCTCACTCTTAAAACAGTTTAGACGATGATCGCTATAAATGTGACAATATTCCACTAATGACCAGTGCATTGCAGTGGTGGCAGGTGTCAGGTGACATCGAGGCACCTGCCGCGTGCTCGTCCCTGGCTTGAGTATCGCGGAAGAGACGGGGCGGGCCGCAGACGGCACTCGACGAGCTCTGTTCGTCCCATATCGGCAGTCGAGTGTTCCAGATTCAGACAGCCGGGGTCGTGCGGCTTATCAGCCGGCCACCACGGGGCCACGCGATCACCACAGTGCCAACGACAGTGGTCCGACAAACTGCGGCCCGCGGCCACTCGGGTCGATACCAATCACATCGTGAACAGGTGGGACTCATTAGACGACAGAAGGAAGTGCCGGGTCGAACGCTCGTGGGGACATTGCAGCTCGATGGCGGCTGAGCACGGGGAAGCATGCAAATGGCTCATGACTCATACGGATAATTGCCGAGCTGCTTCATTGCGTTCGATGGTGCTGGGATTTGAGAAGGGAACTAAATGCTGGCGCAAGCAATCGAAGACTATTATTTCGATTAGTTCGCCGTGGCCGTCGCTGCAGGCTCTAACACTGCAGGCTCTAATCGCTTTTATTATGATACACAATAAACCTGCACAGAGAAAGCATGAGCTTCATCGGGTGCAGCATTTCACTACTTTTAGGCATAATGCTGCTGGATGGTCTGTGGATATTGGCCTCCTCATCGTTCGAGTCCGGCCCTTTCCTGTCCTGCGGGGTCATTGGGACCGTCGCGGCCGCCGGCGGGGGCTCGCACTATCGCCCGGCGCGGCGGTGGTCACTTCCGTGGCTGGTCCGACGAACGGCGGGCGTACCGTCGCAGGCTGCGTGACGCGCCGGGGGCTGGCCGGGGCCGAGCGTCATGCTCCGCCAATGGGAACGCGACGCCGCTGACCCGCCCACGGCCTGCCCCTATGACGCCATCAGCACGCGCATGAGGTCCCGGAGGCGGCGCTTTGTTTTTGTTCTGATACTATCGGACGAGTCATTCTAAAAACGTCACATCCCGGGGATTTCATAAGCCATGTTGCAAGAACCCATGAGTAGACTCGAGACAGCCAGCCGTTAGCACGCAGAAGGCGATGGGCGTAGAAGGCATGGGTAGGTTTCAGCTTTCATCAGAACTCGGCTGGATGAGTTCACTGTTTCATCAGTCCGATGACCTTTCAGTGGATAAACTGAGCTGCGGCATTCGTCGATTCCGTTCATTAGCGACAGGTGCCCGCGGTGACTCAGGGCGCAGTCATGGGCGGTGTGGCAACATCGAACCACTCGGCGGTATATTGAGCCCGGACGGCCCGACTCCAATTCCAGCACCCGGAGACGGCAGCTGTCAGCTGAGGCAGCCAACAGTCGTCACATCGACACGGTAGCTGAGGCAGCCAACTCGTCACACCGAGACGACGGCTGAGGCAGCCAACTCGTCACACCGAGATGACGGCTGTGGCAGCCAACTCGTCACACCGAGATGACGGATGAGGAAGCCAAGGGATGGGAGATTTGGTTGGCGTGAGATCTGGCACTGTCAGTCCGTCCATTCAAACATTTGAGCCTATATTTATAAGAGAGGGTATGTTCCAAGCCTGGCGCCGCGGTTCACTAATGCTTCGAAGTGCTGGGGCGGCCGGGTATGATAGGGCTGGGTCTGGCGTCGCAGCGCGACCCGGCTAATTCTGCTCTCAAGTTACCGGCGCGCTCGCCGTGCCGCCGTCTGCGGCCGTGCCGGGGAATACGGGGCCAGCCAGCGAACCAAGCCGCGTGGAAATCGCCTATTACCGGCCGGGTCAGGTGTCGGCGGCTCGTGACCCCGCGCTGGCCGCCGCATAATGCCGAGAGGCCGAGTCGCCGCCGCGCCGCTCCTGCCTTTGACCTGTGACCTTGTTCGGCCGGTTGGACGCGAACGTGAAAATCGCAATTGTTTGTCAAATAGGTAAGCCATTTACCAGCGCACAGTTCCAATCATGTATCCCTACATAGGCGTAGGAACAGGGGGGGGGGGGCCGGGGGGGGGGGGGCCATGGCCCCCCCACTTTCGGAGGTGGGGGGGCCAGCAATGTTAACTGGCCCCCCCACTTTTTGCTGACTCAAGTGTCTGTCTGTACCTACCTACCACCCGGTAACTTGACAACTATTCAGCTTGCCCTGAAGATTCCCTTTTGTTTCTACAGCGTTATTGACCGCAATTTCCTTCACTCAATGAAGGAAACCATATCAGAGACACGACTGTGGGTCCTTGTGACAACATTTTGGTGAATACGAGTCGCGGGACAGCGAGCACCGAAAAGGTATGACAATACTAGCACGGTGCAGGAGAATGCGTATACAAACGACCAACGCTTGACCGGATCTGCTTGGGGTCGGCATAGTTCGTCAAAGGCGTACTAGCTGGGGGCAGGGCAGGGTGACCGTGCCCCCGCCTCGGCTCAAACAGGCTGGGGGCCAGCAATGTCTGTATCTGCCCCTCCCCCTTCCACTTTCAGTGCAGTGGCGGTCGCAGAGGGGGATCAGGGCCATGCCCTTCCCCCCTCCAAAGGCTAATCAGGGGCCAGGGGGACATCATATCATTTGCCCCCCCCCCAAACAACCAATGGGCCCCCATGGGCGTATGGGGCTCTGGCCCTTATTCAATTGTCACGAGGCTCAAGAATCCCACGCTAGCTATTAACAGCTCCCAAACCAGTCTTTGAGGGTCCTACTGCCTACACTGATCTCGGAGGGCCCTTCAGTGGCGGTCAAGCGCCCACATTGACCGCTGGCCTGAGAACCCACATTGACCTCAGTTGAGGGCCCCTAAACCGGCCTCAAGGGCCCAGCCGGCGTCTGAGGGCCTCACACCGGCCTCTGGTGGCCTCATTTCTGTCTCTGGGGTCCCAAGACTAACCTTTAAGTGCCTCTGAGGTTCCCGCAGTGAATTCCGAAGACCCGCTGCCGGCCTCTAAGGGTCCGCATCGGCCTCTGAGGGTCTATATTGGCCTTAGGGGTTCAACGCCGGCCCATGCCGGTCTTTTAGGGCCCCACACTGACCTCTAAGCGCCCATGCTGGCCTGTAAGGACCCACATTAGCCTATGAGGGCCTTGCACGGGATTCTGAAGACCTGATGCCGGCCTCTGAGGCCCATCTTGGTTTTTGAGGGTCTTTTGCTGGTCTCTGGGGTCCAACACCGGCCCATGCCGGTATTTTAGGGTCCCACATTGACCTCTGAGGGCCCCGCACTGGATTCTGAAGACCCTATGCCGGTCTCTAAGGGTCTGCATCGGCCTCTGAGGGCCTACCTTGGCCTATGATGGCCCTCCGCTTGTCTCTAGGTTCCAGGTCCCGCCCATGCCGGTCTGTTACGGCCCCACACTGACCTCTAAGGGCCCATGCTGGCCTGTAAGGACCCGCATTGGCCTCTGAGGGCCTTGCACTGGATTCTTAAGACCCGATGCTGGTCTCTGAGGCCCATTTTGGTTTTTGAGGGCCTTCTGCTGGCCTCTGGGGTCCCACACCGGCCCATGCCGGCATTTTAGGGTCCTACACTGACCTCTGAGGGCCCATGCTGGCCTGTAAGGACCCACATTAGCCTCTGATGGCCTCCACCTGGGGCGAAACGGCGAGGGTGGTCGTACCCGCCCCCGCCCCCTCGGCCGGCGCGTATGTAGAAAACCTATAGATCCGGACGTCGAGGGTTAAACTGGCCTCTGAGGGCCCAGACCGACCTCTAAAAGTCCCACACCGGCCTCTGATAGTCAATCAGCCCAGTTGCAGTGGTCGCTGATATAAGACCTCTAAAAACGTTAAAGGTCTGGCTGAGCCTAGCTGGGCCGTTCATGCTGATTTTTATAGGTATATTGAAAACACTCGCTTTGCACGTTTCAAGCTCGCTCGTAATGAAAAAGTTGCTGGATGCCTCTGGAATTTGCATGGGTGCCAACTGCCAACGGCTGCGGAGGACAGGGGAACGCGTCCATCAGTTTGAGTTTATGGACGGGAGTCTCCCTGAAATTTCAACCAATTTTGTTTTTGTTTTTGTCTCGATTTTTTTTTATCTCTGAGCATGTTTGCAAAAACAAAGTGGCCGAAATCCGAGGAGAAATGGGATTTTGGGGGTAGGTTAGGTTTTGGACCTCTGTGACCTTGGCCCCCCCACTTTCGAAAACGTTCCTACGCCTATGTATCCCTAATTATCTGCAATCTTTGCCAGGTTAGCCCATGTTAAAGGGACCCTCCCACCTTCAAAAAAGTTAATGAATTGGCATGAAAGTGATGTCGCTCGGTTCAGAAAGAGCAAAAACGAATATCTACCAAATTTCATCGAAAAATATTCACCGGTTTTCAAGATATTAGACTTTTACTTTTGTTTACTTTTTGGGATCTCCGCTGTTCCTAGCGACTTTATTTGAAAGTGCGGCATTTGTTGCGCGCAAAGCAGCATATACCACCGCGTGCACAAAACGTTTTAGTCAAACATTTAACGGACGCTCGAAAGCCTGATGACGTCATCAGATTCCCGTAATGGTTAAGAGATAGGGACCACGCTGGTCCCACCCTGCAAGTAAAGGGAAAAAATTTCTTGAACACCATAAAGCTGCGGGGGTTGCGACCAGGATAAATGGTGGTTTCCGAGCCTGGCCGCAAACTTGGCTATCTCAACTCAAAACTAATGTTAAGGTGGGAGGGTCCCTTTAAGGTTAGTCCAAGCCCTAAGGTAGAGTAGAGTAGGTAAATGCTCCGATTACCGCCCTGTAAGTTTGAAGCCCGCTGTAGCACAGCCTGTCTGTTCGTTTATATAGGTATTTACTGCAAATTAGAGATGTCAATCGGATACCAACTTTTTGGTATACCGATACCAAACCGATACCAACTCGGTATTTGGTATTTCAATCCTAATGTGTTTGGTATTTTGTTGGTATCATGAACCCTCGCTAATGTTTAAGAGGCTAAGAAATCGGTAAAATGTTGGTATTTTCCTCATGTTCCCAAGTTGGTTTGGTTTCGGTATTTGTCCACGGTTTTGGTTGGCATTTGGTTTGGTATCGGTATTCCGATTTTCCGTACCTAATTGACATCACTACTGCAAATATCTATTTAGGTATTATTGTTGTCAGTAAGTGACCTGGGACTCGTTTCATAAAGCGAGTCCGTAACTTACGGCGGTTCTTGGTCTTGTATTGCAAGTGCATGTAAAGCGATGACGTTAATTTGAATCGTTGAACTTGAATCTATTTATGGTGCATGGAAGAACAAAGGGAGAAGGGGAAATAAATGTATCGCTTCACATGCACTTGCAATACAAGACCAAAAACCGGCGTAAGTTACGGACTCGCTTTA